CCGCAGAGCTGCAGACCATACAGCAGAGGCTGAGGACTTTGGAGAAGCATGCTGAAGAGGACAGGCGAAGGAAGGACTCCATCATTAAAGGTATGGACACACATCTCTCAAAAGTTGGCGATGAAAACATGAAAACATTAGAAGTAATACACTTTTGTCTTCTAGATGCTGAACATTATATTAAGGAGCTGGAGACCAAAATGCAGGACCAGGAGATGCACCTTAAGAAAGGTAATTATGAGTTGGAGGAAAAATTGCTAAGGCTTCTGAAAGAGATGGAGGAGTTTAGAGAGAACTTTGTCCTGAAAAACTCTGTTTTTGCAGAAATGGAGGAGGAGATGAGCAAATTGAAGGCTCAGAAGGCCGAAACAGAAAATCTAAAGGAGCAGGTGACACAGCTGCAAACACAGAAATCTGCTCTGGAGAAGGACTGCTTGGATTCCACCACTTACATCCAGCACCAACTCAAAACCACCGTCCAGGATAAAACCAGCCTTCAACTTTCTCTGCAAAAAACCACTGCAGAGTTGCATACGACAAAGGGTGAGGTGCGGGACCTAAAAGAGGCTTGTGCCAGGTGTGAGGACAGGAACAAGGAGGTCACCAACTTCTCCAAGATCCTGAAGGAGAAGAACAAGGGCTTGTCCGAAGCAATGGAGTCTGTAAAGCAGATTCTGAAGGAGGAGAAACAAGCCTTGTCCACAGAACTGCAGTCCGTAAAAACGACTCTGAGGACTGTGGAGAAGCGTGCTGAAGATGATGGGCAACGGAAGGACTCCCTCCTGAACGGTATGGACACAGATCTCTAAAACGTTGAAGAAGAAAACATGAACACATTTGGAGTAATGAACTCTTGTCTTCTAGATGCTGGCTTTTATATTGATGAGCTGAAGACCAAAATGGAGGACCAGGAGATGCACCTGAGGAAAGGTAATTATGAGCTGGAGGAAAGAACTGTTGGAGCTGGAGGAGTTTAGAGAGAGCTTTGTCCTGAACAACTTTGTTTTTACAGAAATGGAAGAGCGGGTGAGCAAATTCCAGGAGATAATGAAAGAGGCCGTCGCCGAGAACCTACGCCTGAAATATGAACTGAACTTTCTGAAGAAGAATCCGTCAAAGCAGCAGACCCAGGACCCTCAGGAGGGCCTCGCTCCAAACTATCCTCAGCAGATGCAGAGACGCAGTTGTCAAAAGACAGACGTCTACAGACGGGTCTGTTACGGTCCCAAGAACTAAAACTAAGTTCTGAATAAACTACCCCCCCTCCCCCAAACCTTCCCTCAACCCTTTTCACAACAAACGGCACATTGCTCCTGACTCACATCCTTCACAGAGTCACAGTAACTGGAGTTAAACCTCCACATGCTTCAAGTATTTAATACTCATGAATATTGTGTCCGTTTGGTCATGAGGCTAACGGCTACAGCTAGTGCTTGTTGCCTCTGATGGCAAAGAGTAATGTCAGTGATTAGAGACCGCTGTAAGGCCAGGCGCCACAGTGGGACGACTGCGGCTGCCACACTGCCACACTGTTGTTGTGTTCTTTAGCAAGACACTTCACCCACAAGTATGAATGGGTGTGTGTATGTGGTGGTTAGAGGGGCCGACTCAGGTTGGCAACCTCCGTAGTCTGTCCCAGGGCAGCTATGGCTACAGTAGTAGCTGACTACCACATGATTGAATGTGTGTGTGAATGAAAGGTGGTGGTTAGAGGGGTCGACTCAGGTTGGCAGCCTTCGTAGTCTGTCCCAGGGCAGCTATGGCTACAGTAGTAGCTGACCGTACCACCATGAATGGTATGAATGAATTGCGGTTTTGTTTTGATGAAAATAATACTTGACAGCGTTAATGCAAAACGTTTTATCTGTTTCACCCTGACCCCTCTGGCGCCATCTAGAGGATCTGCTAGACAAAACGTAGACTCAATGACCGAATGTATAAACTGAAAGATCTTAGGTTTAAACGCATAGGACTCCAGAGCTGACGACCTGTGCTCATGAAGGAACCAGTTTGTGCAGTGTCCAAATGTGAAAAGGGTACATCCCCCCTTCCCTCCCCGCAACAAAAAAAGTAATTAAAAAATATATAAATAAACAGTAAGTAACTGTGTTACATAGCTGAACCAACAAGCTCATTTTTTCAATTAAATTACGGGTTTTAATAAAGCTCAGAAAATACTGTCTACTACAGAAAGACAGAATGTGAATAATTGTAATAAAGAAATACAGTATGTACACTAACCTTACACAGACCCACCTTAACCCTAACCCTAACCATCTTACTCAGACCCACCTTAACCCTAACCTTAACCATCTTACTCAGACCCACCTTAACCCTAACCTTAACCATCTTACTCAGACCACCTTAACCATCTTACTCAGACCGCCTCAAACCTAACCTTAACCATCTTACTCAGACCCACCTTAACCCTAACCTGGATTGTTTTTCACTAAACCGTAAAGCACTTTGTGTTACATTTTAAAAATGTGATCGATTGATTGATTGACTACATCCGTTAATATTTACAATCTATGGCTGTGACCTGGATATAGTTGTGATTCCTGTAATCACTAGTGAACGCCTGCTGTACCTTACGCCCTGATGCCACGTTCGGACCGGATCATGCGTTGCGTCGGCTTTCAATGCAAAGTCGAGCGTCAAAACGCACAAACGTCTTGGAATGCACGCACGGACCGCGCTGGGAAGTCGAAGGGGAGGAACGTAAAGAGATGAATCTTGCTCAACCTTTCCTCGGGACGCTCGTGCAGCAACCAATCAGAGAGCTGCAAAGTGGTCACAGGGACATTAGTGGTCTGAGCGAGCTGACTGAATATACTGTAAACAGCCAAAACAGGAGCTACATCAGGACTAAACCAGGACAAAACCAGGGTTGACAATGGGGGACATAGTGCTTGTTAACATGTGAGTTTTCAGGCTCCCGTGACTTTATGCAACTGCTTCGAGTGTGTTCGCCGATGCAGAAGTACCGTTTAATAATAAAATAAACTTATTGCGCACCTCTGTGAACACATACTGCTGTTATATAAAGTCCATGGAAGGTTTCTGAACACAGACACGCTGCAAAACTGCATTATTGGAGAAGATCTGTACACAAGAAGCCGCTAGCTAAACTCTGTTAGCATCAGAGCCCGTCGGCTACTTCCCGCACTTCCGGTGCGCCAGGACCTCTGGTGTGAAAACCCCTGCTTCTGAAAAATAGAGAACGTGCGTTTCAGCGTTGCCGGTCTGAAAGCACCATAACACAACGCACGCCTCTTTTGAAGCGGAAAGGCTCACACAGCGGCACACTTTTCAGATACGGGCCCGTGGTAGAAACTTGGAAAACCCATGCTGACTCGCCAGGCACCGGCCCTTGTGGTCAGGCACTGGTGCAATATATGACGAATTTTCTCTGCACAGTGAGGCGGCTTTCTGTCATAATACACAGGAAACGGCTTCATATGTCAACATTAACAGGAGGCGCAGTGTTCATGAACCAAACCAGCCACAGAGCCAGTGTCTGGTATAGAACCAGGTCCACGCTGTGAAAACTCTGTTTGTGTCGTTTACCAACAGTAAAATGTCTCCTGCTGTGAGACAATCCCGGACTTCTGCATGTCTGCCATTTTCTTCACTAGAACAAAAATTGGTTTGTCTGTGTTTGCGTTAACCCCTAATAACTGACAGCACTATATATACTATATATATAATACTATTTACACAAACGCGCACACACAGACACACACAGAGTGGTCGGTGTGAATGTGCGCTGACAGCAGAGGTTACCTTGAGCGGCCTACTGGACCCCCGGCTGTATGTCTTCGTTTAGCTGCGTATCATAGAATGCCCGCCAAAAGGGAAAGTTATTTTCTGTGTCTGGCCCACAGGGAAAAAGAGAGGCTAACAATGGGCAGCCATGTTGATTTGAGCAGGCTCCAAGAAAAGTGTGTGTGTGTGTGTGCGTGCGTGCGTGTTATAGAGGAGAGTGTTGGTATTGAAGTTGCTGATATGCTGTTTTTCCGATCATTAATATCCATAACTGATATCCATCTGTAGCAGAATTACTTTTTTCCCCAAAGTCTAACAACAGGGATCAGTCTCTCTCACAAGTCATGCGTTTTGTGTTTCTAAATTGAGAAGTATCCACAAAACTTACTGTTACTGTTCTTTCCCCTCATTTTGAAACTGCACTTGAAATACACAATTAAATATCACATTATAGAAAACCCTTTAGATAAAGCTTTTTCTCCTGAAGGAGTTCTCTGATATCAAATAAAACACTTGTGTTATGTGTGATACCGACTTCTGGCCGGAGGGTAGATCACTATCGAGGTCAACCGTTACTCTCTGGTTTGTGCTCTCTCTGATTGTGGTTTGTGTCTCTCTCGCTCCTCAGTGTAGAAGTCTGTCTCTGGTTTGTGCTGGTCTCTCCTGTGTACAGGTGTCTCTCTCCTGTGTACAGGTGTCTCTCTCCTGTGTACAGGACTCTCTCTCCTGTGTACAGGTGTCTCTCTCCTGTGTACAGGTCTCTCTCTCCTGTGTACAGGTGTCTCTCTCCTGTGTACAGGTCTCTCCAGTGTACAGATGTCTCTCTCCTGTGTACAGGTCTCTCTCTCCTGTATAAGTGTCTCTCTCCTGTGTACAGGTCTCTCTCTCCTGTGTACAAGTGTCTCTCTCCTCTGTGTAAAGGTCTCTATCTCCTCTCTTTCTCTCTGTGTACAGGTCTCTCTCTCCTCTGTGTCAGGCAGAGCTCCAGGCATAGATGGGCTTTCTGCCTTTTTTATTAGGCCTTCTGGGACGTTCTGGGGCCAGACCTTCTGGAGGTCTTCATGGACAGTCTTGAAAGTGGTCGTTTGCCCCTGAGCTGCCGCAAAGCAGTGCTCACCCTGCTCCCAAAGAAGGGTGATCTACAGTTGTTGAGGAACTAAAGGCCGGTGTCGCTGCTCTGCACGGACTATAAAATCCTGTCCAAGGTTTTGGCGTCACGGCTGCGAGGAGTCATGGCCTCGGTCATTCACGTGGACCAGAGTTACTGTGAGCCCAGGAGGCTCATAGGGGATAACGTCACCCTGGTCAGAGATGTTGTGGACGTCTCCGGCTCATTGGGAATCAACCTGGGACTGATTTCCATTGACCAGGAAAAGGCGTTTGACCGGGTTGAACACCAGTACCTTCGGCAGACCATGACTGCCTTTGGGTTCAGCCCTGGGTTCATTGCCCACATCCGGACTCTGTATTGTGACATCATGAGTGTACTGAAGGTGAGGGGGAGGAGCATCATGCAGGGCTGCTCTTTGTCAGGGATGCTCTACTCCCTCTCCATCGAGCCCCTTCTGCATGGGCTCAGAGCTGACCTACAGGGGGTGCCGGTAAACTGCTTTGGCCGAGTGTCCAGCTCTAAGGTCAACTGGAGCAAGAGCTCGGCCACTCTGTTACGAGAGGGTCTGAGGGGCCTCAGCCTGCCTGGGGGATTAGTGTGGGGCACAGGGGGTTTCAAACTCCTGGGGGTTTTTCTTGGCCCTGGTCATGTCCATAAGAACTGGGATCAGTCTCTTGAGCAAGTTCAGGGGCGTTTGAGTTAATGGAGGTGCCTGTTCCCCAAAATGTCCTACAGAGGAAAGGTCCTCATCGCCAACAACCTGGTGCCCTCCCCTCTGTGGCACAGGCTGCAGTGCACAGACCCACCTCCCCCTTTTCTCTCACAGATCCAGAGACTGATCGCAGACTTCTTCTGGGACAAGCTGCACTGGGTTCCGCAGGCAGTGCTGTTTCTGCCGAAGGAGCAGGGAGGCCAAGGTCTGGTCCATCTGGCCAGCCGAGGAGCTGCCTTTTAGGCTGCAGTTTCTACAGAGACTGTTAGCTGGGCCAGAGGCGCTGCTGTGGAGACCGTTGGCAGTGGGCGGGGGGACTGGGGCTCTCAGTGTTCCTCGGTGACCACACACCAGCTGGACTCCTGTCCTTCGACCGTGGGCTGTTCTCTGTGTGGAGAAGAGTGAAGAGGCAGAGCTCCTCTCTGCACTGGCTGAGGGGCCGTTTCAGTTCAGGGGGGTGGACTCGGTGCAGCAGCTCTTAGATATAAGTGGGCCTCAGCTGGAGGACTGGAAGGCCCTGGGAGCCCACTTGGGCCTGAGGTCGGCTCATACCCTGGAGCGTCTCCTGGTTTTCTGAAGAGAGGGTCTGGCATAGGAGGACTGGACCCTGTTAGAGGGACACAGATCAGGCTCACTGACCCCTGACCCCTTCCCCAGCCTCATCCTGGACCTGGGCCCCTGCTGGCAAGTCCAGTCACTGCCTCTCTAGAGGCTGGTCAGGGAAGACCTTTTACAGCCTCATGGCCCTGAACCACCAGCGACTGTGTGACCGTGCAGACACTTTTCCCTACCACTCAAAATATGCTCACTAGGTAAAAATCCTCCAGCTCCGGTAGTCCTGACCAAGCCGACATCTGGAGATGGGTTCCCTGGCGCTGTACTACGGCGACCACTGCTCCTGACGTAAGCCTTAGTGGCATCAGGATGGTGGTGAGGTACTTCAGCCGCAGCAGGAGGAGGGGGCAGCTGCTCAACTTCCTCATTGGTCAGGCTAAGATGGCAGTCTATGTGTGCAGGAGGAGGATGGTCCAGGACCAGAGTGAGGTCAGTCCTGGATGGTCCAGGCCAGACTCAGACTGGAGTTTGGGCTCTACAGGCTAAATTGGGATCTTGAGGGATTTGAGGAGCGTTGGTGGTTCAGGGAGGTCTCCTCTGTGAGGGACGGGGAGCAGCACTTTTCTGCCTTTTTATCTTTGTAAAACATATGAATTGATTTGAGTGTAATGTATTGCATTGTCCACTGCCCCTTCGGGCTGACATGGGCAGTCCCTCCTGTGGGCCCACTACCTGCAGAGGGGTTTGTGGTGGCGCGGTGCTGAGAGGACTGGGCGGCAGTCGAAGGCGGAGACCTCGGCGACCCAGTCCGCACACACAACATCTGGCTCTTGGGACGTGGAACGTCACCTCACTGGGGGGGAAGGAGCCCGAGCTCGTGGGGGAGGTTGAGTCGGCCTCACCTCCACACACAGCTTGGGCTCTGGAACCCAACTCCTTGAGAGGGGTTGGACGCTCGACTTTTCTGGTGTATCCCGCGGGGAGAGGCGGCGAGCTGGGGTGGCCATTCTCATTGCCCCCCATCTCAGCCGCCACGTGTTGGAGTTCTCCCCGGTGAATGAGAGGGTCGCGTCCCTCCACCTCCAGGTGGAGGACAACTCTCTCGTTGTGACGGCCTACGGGCCTAACAGCAGTGCAGAGTACCCGGCCTTCTTGGAGTCCTTGGGAGGGGTCCTGGATGGTGCACCGCCCGGGGACTCCGTTATTCTCCTGGGGGACTTCAACGCCCATGTGGGAAACGTCAGTGACACTTGGAGAGGGGTGATCGGGAAGCACGGCCCCCCTGATCTGAACCCGAGCGGTGTTCAGTTGTTGGACTTCTGTGCCAGTCACAGTTTGTCCATCACGAACACCATGTTCGAGCACAAGGGTGTCCACCAGTGCACGTGGCACCAGGACACCCTAGGCCGGAGGTCGATGATCAACTTTGTTGTCGTATCATCTGACCTTCGACCGCGTGTCTCGGACACTCGGGTAAAGAGAAGGGCGGAGCTGTCAACCGATCATCACCTGGTCGTGAGTTGGATCCGCTGGCAGGGGAAGAAGCCGGTCAGACCTGGCAGACCCAAGCGTATAGTGAGGGTCTGCTGGGAACGTCTCGCTGAGCCCCCTGTCAGACGGACTTTCAACTCACACCTCCGGGAGAGCTTCTTCCAGGTCCCGGCAGAGGAGGGGGACATGGAGTCCGAGTGGACCATGTTCTCTGCCTCAATCTCCGATGCGGCGGCTCGTGGCTGTGGTCGCAAGGTCTCTGGTGCTGGTCCCGGCGGCAACCCCCGAACCCGGTGGTGGACACCGGCAGTAAGGGATGCTGTCAGGCTGAAGAAGGAGTCCTATCGAGCCATGATGGTTCGGGGGACTCCTGAGGCAGCTGTCCAGTACCGGCAGGCCAAGCGTGCCGCGGCCCGGGCTGTTGCAGGGGCAAAAACCCGGGACTGGGAGGAGTTCGGAGAGTCCATGGAGCATGACTATCGGTCGGCCTCGAAGAGATTCTGGCAAACCATCCGGCGCCTCAGGAGGGGGAAGCAGTTCTTTGCCAACACCATGTACGGTGCGCGTGGAGAGCTGCTGACCTCGACTGGGGATATTGTCGGGCGGTGGAAGGATTACTTTGAGGTTCTCCTAAATCCCCCCGTCACGTCCTCCGTTACAGAGGCAGAGGCTGTTGGGGCAGTACATCCATCTCCCTGGCTGAGGTCACCAAGGTGGTTGGCAGCCTCCATGGTGGCAAGGCTCCGGGTGTGGATGAGATCCGTCCTGATTATCTAAAGTCTCTGGATGTTGTAGGACTGTCTTGGCTGACACGTCTCTGCAACATCGCGTGGTGATCGGGGGCGGTGTCAATGGAGTGGCAGACCGGGGTGGTCTTCTCTACAAGAAGGGGGACCGGAGGGTGTGTTCCAATTATCGTGGGATCACACTCCTCAGCCTCCCCGGTAAGGTCTACTCCAAGGTACTGGAGAGGAGGCTACGGCCGATGGTCGAATCTCGGATTCAGGAGGAGCAGTGTGGTTTTCGTCCCGGTCGCGGAACACTGGACCAGCTCTATTCTCTCCATCGGATACTCGAGGGTTCATGGGAGTTCGCCCAACCTGTCCACATGTGCTTTGTGGATTTGGAGAAGGCGTTCGACTGTGTTCCCCGGGGTGTCCTTTGGGGGGTTCTCCGGGAGTACGGGGTCGGAGGTCCTCTGCTGAGGGCCATCCGATCCCTGTATGACCGGAGCCAGAGCTGTTTTCGCATTGCCGGCAGTAAGTCAGACCTGTTCCCGGTGAATGTTGGCCTCCGACAGGGCTGCCCTTTGTCACCGGTTCTGTTCACTGTGTTTATGGACAGAATTTCTATGCGCAGCCAGGGGTCGGAGGGGGTCCGGTTCGGAGACCACAGGATTTCATCTCTGCTGTTTGCAGACGATGTTGTCCTGTTGGCTCCAACGAACCAGGACCTGCAGCATGCACTGGGGCGGTTTGCAGCCGAGTGTGAAGCGGCCAAATCCGAGGCCATGGGGCTCGACCGGAAAAAGGTGCCTTGCCCTCTACAGGTGGGTGGCGAGGTCCTTCCTCAAGTGGAGGAGTTCAAGTATCTCGGGGTCTTGTTCACGAGTGAGGGAAGAATGGAGCGTGAGATTGACAGGCGGATCGGTGCAGCGTGCGCAGTGATGCGGTCGCTCTATCAGACCGTTGTGGTAAAGAGGGAGCTGAGCCAAAAGGCAAAGCTTTCGATTTACCGGTCAATCTTTGTTCCCTCCCTCACCTATGGTCATGAGCTTTGGGTAATGACCGAAAGAACGAGATCGCGAATACAAGCGGTCGAAATGAGCTTCCTCCGCAGAGTGGCTGGGCGCTCCCTTAGAGATAGGGTGAGGAGCTCAGTCACACGGGAGGAGCTCGGAGTAGAGCCGCTGCTTCTCCACGTCGAGAGGAACCAGTTGAGGTGGCTCGGGCATCTGTTCCGGATGCCTCCTGGACGCCTCCCTGGGGAGGTGTTCCGGGCACGTCCCACCGGGAGGAGGCCCCGGGGAAGACCTAGGACACGCTGGAGGGACTATGTCTCTCAGCTGGCCTGGGAACGCCTTGGGGTCCCCCCGGACGAGCTAGAGGAAGTGTGTGTGGATAGTGAAGTCTGGGCGTCTCTGCTTAGACTGCTGCCCCCGCGACCTGGCAACGGATAAAGCGGAAGAAAATGGATGGATGGATGGTATTGCATTGTCTATTTATTGCCCAGTATTTTCACATTTATGTCTGAAATTTTAAACTGTGTTTTAACTTTAATCAATTACAATATTGTACTGGACCTGTGTCAATGGACGAATAAAGGTCTGTTAAAAATCAATCTCCTTTGTGTACAGGCCTCTTTCTCCTCTGTGTTCAAGTCTCTCTCTCTCACTCCTCTGTGTTCAAGTCTCTCCCTCTCACTCCTCTGTGTTCAAGTCTCTCACTCCCTCCTCTGTGTTCAAGTCTCTCACTCCCTCCTCTGTGTTCAAGTCTCTCTCTCTCTCCTCTGTGTTCCAGTCTCTCCCTCCTCTGTGTTCAAGTATCTCTCTCTACTCTGTGTTCCACTCTCTCCCTCCTCTCTCTCTCTCATCTATGTACAGGTCTCTTTCTCATCTCTGTTCAAACAATCACCAATATTTGTAACTCTTCTCGCCATTGGAAGCCTTCAGAACAACATTCTGAGCGGTCGACCGTCGCTGGTGACAGCTGACGTACTTTGGCAGACTGTTCTTTGTGGAGCTTCTACAAAGACCTCTGTGTTGTCATTTGTAGACGGGAGCGGCGCACAATCACGCTCCAAGAGGAATGGGCGCAGATAGCAGCCAAATGAAAGGTTATTACAGTTAAATACGGCCTGACACTCTGCCGGCTAATCCTCAGGGCGCCCATTATGGAGAATCTAATGGGCACACTAGTAATTAGAGGCAAATTCATTGTTTTATCTGAGGCCCGAGAGCTCTTCGGACGAGCAATCAGGCCGAGATCACTGCATTATTTCCACACTCAAACATATCATCGCGGAAGTCTATATATTTCACTAAGTGCCATAACAGATACGCCTTTGTGCCCAACTGCTTTCTACTGTATCTACCAAAAAAGATTTATGTCGGCAGTGATTGCAGACGATTAAATTGGACACGATTATGTTCCTTTGATGCCGCTGGAATTATTTTTGAATGCCTGTTATTACCAAAATGTGGCTCTGAAAAGTTGCCATGCATAAATCAGGTTTGGAACGACTTCGGAGGCGCTCGGATATACAGATTACCATAATGTGACTGGGAGGAAAGAAAGGGATTTGTCCCAGATATAAACCGGAATGAAGACTCTGTTTTTCCTCTGTCCCTTTGTGTCTCCATGTGTCTCTGTATCTCTCTGTCCCACTGTGTTCTTATGTCCCTGTGTCTCCGTCCCTGTGCGTCTATGTCCCTGTATGTCTGTTTCTCTCTGTCCCTGTGTCCGTCTGTACAGTAGCCTCATTTATCTCCTGCTGAGATCTGACTAGCTGAGAATATTCAACTTTAAAACCACTGGCACATGTTTTTTAGAAATAGTTTATTAGTTACACAACAAATACATAGCAAAGGAAGGTTTCTCACCCATCATCTGTACTTCTTAGCAAGTTTTCCCGACAACAAATACATATAAAAAAAAAAACAATACATAAATATCAATGCTGAAATGAATACATAAATATATAACAAATTGACACATTATTCTGCTATTTTTCAAAAAATAGAAAACCAAAAAGGGCATGCAGTATGTAGTTAATACTTTGTGGAATTAACTCTAGGAGACATCTTGAGACCAAAAGTTTAGCCCATTCGTCTTTACAAAACAATTTGAGCTCTGTCCAATTAGATGGAGACCGTTTGTGAACAGTGGTTTTTTAGTTCTTTCCACAGATTTTCAATTGGATTTAGGTCTGACCATTAACCGGACCATTCTAACACATGAATATGTGCAGCTCGAGTCCTGACCAGAACTAGGAAGTGCGACCACATTAGTCCAGTTCTCAGGTCTCTGCACTGGCTTCCTGTTCCTCAGAGAATA